AAAGAATGGGCTCTGTCAGACGATGGACGAAAGGCGTGGGAATGTAACTGTTTTCTGGGTAGTAGTCACCTATTTGACATTATCAAAGGTTTACCACGCTACATGACGGCGAGACAAGAAAATGACTGCGCATGGCCCAATCTTACCACCAAAAAATAACAAAGGAAACGATTTTGTCGGGGCCACTTTTGCATTTGACAGGGTTGTGGATTTTTGTCAGAAATGTCTTAGGACGCGACACTGAATTCTTAAATATGCCTTGGCAGATCGGAATGACGATCCATACAACACGAATCCCAACTAGCCCGACGGCCCCGCGTTGATGGCAATTTCTTTTTGTAGGTTGTGACGTGATGTGCCACAAATAAGTTGAAACTATTATTCCGGACTGGACGCCTGAACATAACAGAGGAGGGAAAGTTACCAAACTAGTGAACGCAGCACTTTTCATAACGCCGGAGGCGAATGTGCGAAATGGGACATTATATGTACAATGCGCATAGAGCCGACGTTCGATTTCGTCTAAACCCTTTACGGCAAGCGTGAGATCAACCTGGAGCCCAAGTTGAAAATATATGAAAGTTCTGTCAAAACGACCTTTCTGTCTAAATCTGGTTTACTTTCCGAGGGCTCATCAGGTATCAGCTGTTTAGGAGTGTTCGATCAATGGTGTTACGCTCTCCTCTCAGTTTCGTTTCCGATGAAGTGTCAGGTAACTTTCGACGCGTACCACAGGAAAAACAACCCCACAACAGCGCCTTTGCTAAGTGTCGTCCAGACAGTTCGAACACGTAACCAGCCAATCCAAATACGAATTCCTTAGGACGTCGCCCTGTCTAAACCTGACTACAGCTAGATGCGTCTGGAAAGCTGACGGAAACTATTGACGGACGTAGTAAAAACAGAGCCTGGAAACTCCTCATCCCACTAACGGTTTGCGCAGCTGGCTCGCCAGCTGACCATACTTCGCGTCAAGGTATGGTAGCCGCCGAATGCAACACAAGCGATCGTTCAAGATACGGTGTGCAGCCGGTCGAAGTATGTTGAGCGCCGTCGCAAGTAGGAAGAAGCTCAGAGTAGAACTAGGGACGCCATTCAAGGACAAGTTGCCAGGAGATAAGACAAGTAGGCTTTTATGGCAGTGAAAGAAATTGGCTATAGGACAAGTGCAGTAGCGTTGGAAAGGGCCTAGTAGCCGGTTCTATATGACTTATCTGATGGCATGTTAGAATGCCAGTCTCGTAGATCATATGGACGACCAAGCACAGTGCATATTTCCGCGGAAAATCTGCTATGGTGGACATGGCTTGCCTTAGGGGACAATTGATAGATATTCTTTAAGCCTGTGCTGGTAGGCAAGAATCGCAAAATTTCAGGGGCTACCTGACCATCTTCGAAATTTGCAAAATACCCGATAATATCCGCGTTTTTAGGTGATCTGTCAGGCCATATGCGCATAGTCAGTAAAGTACGCGGTCGGAACCGATTGGCCTATGCTCGACGCAAACTCCCTTGCAAGTAAGAAAACCTCGATTGGAAGCAGACGCTGCAAACTGGAAACGTTCGCCTTAGGAGATACAGAGGTTATTGGGGTGCACAGTTAAAAATGAATATGATACGACAACGGGCAACCTGAATTGCATCGCCTCTGACGTCCATTGAGGAGCCAAGTGCACACACGTGTGTTTTGGACACGACGTTGAGATGTTTAGTTACTCATAAGCCTTGATTAACTCATCCAGTTTCTTAACTAATTACCGCTTAGGAAATGTATTCGCTTTCTATTAAGATCGCAAGCTTAACTCTTAGGTGGATATTAAACTAAAACAGTCGCAGCGAATATAATGAGCGAGGCGAGGCTTTCACGCATCAGTTCCTACTTCGCCAAGTTAACAGTCGAAAAATTCTTGTCTCCCATATAGGACGTGCCGTTGCAGGAAAGGATCATCAATATACGTTGTAACGTCTACTCTGCTTCCAGTTCCGGTTTTTGGAGAAAAAGATCTTATTTTTAGTACTTTGACAAAATTTCGAAAATCACATTTTTCCAGAAGAACAGAATTCAACACAAGCTAGGTTTTCGTAGACGATTGGTCTCTCGAATTTTTAGGGTGGCTGACAAATAAAGCGTACTCGCTGTTAAAAATACAGTGTCCTACATCTGGACCTCGTGAAGGTGTGTCAAAGAATTCCCGCCTAATCTATTTCTTACTTTACCGTTTATCTCTTCAAGAAAAAACAGAAAACGTACAAAATATTTCCATGACGATGCTTACCAGCATCATCTGTCACTCACTGTCTCCTTACGGACGAACAGTAGGAATAGCAGTTCACCAGACCTAAGTGCGGTACAGACTAGTTACAACCTAATGATCACAGCATTCACGCAGACATCTATTACTGCTCAAGGTTGGACGAGGCTTTAAGTCGCCCTAACTTTTCTTCCAGACCTGTATGCATACCATTGTCTGATTTTAGATTTAAAACTTATCAAAGAGGATTAATTCAAATTCCAACAAAAGATGTTTGAAGTGATCTAGATAGCGGAGTTAAGAAAATGCGTAAACAACGGAGACCGCCCTTACCAGAGGAATCTAGAGTTGCGGCTGTAGGCAGAGAGGGGAGTCGAGAAAAGTCGATTGAGAAGTCATGTGGAAAGGAAGCCTCACTAGAAGTGGTGGGATAGTGGTGAACGGATCCAACAGGACTAAAAGGTTGGCTGCCATCGAAATTAATGAAGCGAGCATTGTTGTCCATCTGCGCAGGCAGCCAGGGGCCCGCAGAGGCCGAGTGCATGGTGTAGTCCTATTAAACATGAAAAATGAGCTAGGCGTCAGGATGGGAAATTTACAAAAGTTGAAGAATAAAAACGCAGTTCGTGTGAACCGCAGTTGGGAAAAACTCTTGAAGTAGTTGTTAAATGCTCAGTTTTACAAATATGAGGTGGGGAAAAAGGAAAAGTCGCTAACACCTGAATTAGCTAGAAATGGTTAGGCATGCAATAAATAAATACAGAAAGAAAGTGGGGAATTTCTCTCCAAGAAAGGTTCACGAAAGTCTACTCTGGGTAACTCAGAACGTCACCGAGCAATGTGAGTTATGAGGTAGCCACAATTCGTGTCAGAAACCTGTAAGGCCCATGAAGAACCAAAGATTTGGTGAGACTACATAACTGGAGAAATCACATCGAGTAGTTCAAAATGTGGCTGAAAACAAAACAGCCAGGCGGTGAGTTGATATCACAGATACGATTTACAGCAGTGACAATAGACAACGGCCGAAGTCAGAGTAATGAACTGCTGCCCTCAGCAACTGGAGCTAAACGTCGAGGGGACGCATGAGACGTGTAGTTGGCCCGTTAACGTGGCACAGACTGTTAGGGATTGGGAGAAGACTAAGAGGCAAGTATCGGTGAGCGTGAGACGAATGCCAATAGCACACCAGTATGATTCCACATATTTGGAATCATATGTCATGCATATGCAGGAACTGTCACCTTGATGGCGGCAAATGGAAATCTTGGCTTTATGCCAGTGGAGCCGGAACGATTATTCCAGTCAACAAAATGCAGAATTGAGTGAAAACTAATTTTCTGGACGGAGACTTCGAGAAAGAAATCCTAAGAGGCGTACAGTCATCAAATAAAGCAGCAAGGACGAAACAAATACATGCTGGAAACGCACTAACCCCGAAATGTGCACAATCTACTGCCCACCAAATTAGTCTTCCTTGCGGGCCGTCAGACCACGTAAACAGCAAAGGCCGAAACTTGCAACAGATAGACTGAAAACTCCAATTTTGAAGATTTAAAACGAGATATATACTTCGTGACAAGTAAAACAAAGACGCTCAATTCAAATGAGGGATAGTGATGAGGACGAAAATGCGTCAACAAGTTTCATATATTAGCAAAAACCACTAATGCTCCTATCTAAGTTGTTGTGAGGTTTTAATATTAAAAATAACCGTGAGAACAAGCCTTAGACATCGTACACTTAAGTCGTTAGTCAAGTTCCTGGAATTTTCAAATATTCGGCGACAGACTGTTCCGATTTTGGCACTTATCTACAAGGGATCAAAGTTGAGCCAAACGCCGGCTAGTATTAAACAGAGATACTTACATGACGAAATTAAGTAGGTGCTGAGAAATCAAAACATATGGTGAAAAGAGGTGAGACAGGAGGTATCATCTGAATAACGCGACAGAAGTTAATTCAAGGAAGTTAAGATAGTTAACAGAGCAGAAAAGGCGCAGTAGACCGAGACCAGAAATTGCTTAAAACAATTAGTGCATCAGGGCATTTTTCGCGCGTATATAGTTGTCAAAGCAGATTGTTATATAAAAATAGCCGACCGTAGACCGTTCATCAGTCACTACAGAAACCTAGAGTAGACGAACCATACAGGGACTTTATGTATCAACTCCTTACATGCAAGCGCATATTCAGTGCTATGACACGGTAAGTGAATACTCAGATGGGAACCAGTCTCCTCGTGAACTAATAGTACGTGAACGCCCTAAATTCACACAAAGGTGGTGCGGGCCAACTAAGGCGCAAAAATCTCAGGCAACCCTTCGTCAAAATTTGAACAGAACAAGATTCCTGGTTTCTTTCTGAAACCTACTGTCAATCTGAAGCAACTAGACACTAATGTTTTTTAAAATTTTCAATAAGTTCGTTTATCTGTTGTGTCAGACTGGGGTGAAGTTGGCGGGAAGTCAAAAAAAGACGATGTCACACACACCACACTTCAAGTGTACCTTGTCACACCTTCCTGGTAACCTTTTTTCTTGTTTTTATGCTTTAGGTCTGCCGAATTGACTATAACTCCGACAAGAGTCTGGCAATATCCCAATTTCGCCCATCTGCACTTCGTGTGTTTCATTATCAATAGTAAATAAACTCTCATCATCGCTTCCCACGTTCTACGTCAGTGTGTGTGTGTTGAGAACTGTTTATCCCCATCTTATCTGGAGTATTACAAATTAGGTGGCAGCGATGTCCGGATCGAAAGCTCCCGTCCGGGAACCCACGCCAACTCCTGGCTCACCCCCGAAAATCACAACGGCGTGCCCTCCTTCGCCCTTCGCCCCTCTTGAAACCTATTCGTACTTTACCCCACACTTCAAAAACATACAACACCGCCCTCGGCCAAAGCCTGTTCTATCCCCGCCACCAACACAACTGTACCCGACATCCACCACACCAGTCTTCACTCCCCAGTCAATACAACCCCCGACCCTACGTCAAGGCGACAACCTGGCCCAATGGATCTCTCTAGCAGAGCCGTTCTTAGAGTTGATCCCCGAAAACTTCAGGAAGACCACACTTAAATCCCTCCTCGCCCCCGAACTTGTATACAAGGTAGATGGGCTGGCTCCCTCTCCTTTCTGCGCATTCGAGGAATACTTCGGCGCCCTTAAACAGATTTTCCAGTCAGAGTCCAGCCAGGCCGCGGAACAACAGCGGTTCTTCAATAGAACCCAGCGGGAAGGTGAGACCCTGCTGAATTTTTATATAGAATTAAAACACCTCTCGTTTCGCGCCTTTCCACCTCACGGCGAGGAAGATCTAACGTTTTGTCGCATGATGTCGGGCATACGCGACCGTGAACTAGCGTTAATCTTCACCAGCCGCCCACCGGCCAACGTCAAGGAGGCTCTTGACTTGGACTCGGCGCGCCGCACCCAATTCCCCTTGGCGCAAGAACCTCAAGCCACCAGAGATCCAACTACTTGGGGTCATCCACCCAACCTCCCAGGCCGGTCCACACCCTACCACACTACTTTAAACCGACGTTTCTAACCCCCCAGGCTCCCAGGCCCGCCAAACAACAATCACTGTTACTACTGCGACCGTTTCGGCACAGCTGCCAAGAAATGCGGACACAACTCAGGTAACCAGCCCTTTCTCCTAGCCGCTTTATACACCCTCCCCTCTGATTTTAAGCCATTGACAATCTCGGGCACAGTGGCCAATAAGAGAGTCAGCATCCTTATAGACACGGGCGCAGCCGTCTCCCTGATGCACGGTAGCCTCCTCCACTGAACAAACTACATTCAGTCGGCATTCCCTCAGCTACAGATTCTCACCGCCAACAATTCCACCCTCCAGCTTAGCGGCTCCGCCACAGTTCCAGTCTCCATCAAAGACACGACTATCCGACATTGCTTCCTCGTGTCTTCTGAACTGAAATGGAATGTCATACTCGGCTGTGATTTTCTAAAACGACATGCCCAGGCTATTACCTACTCCCCCACTTCTCAGTCCCTGATCCTCAAAGACGACGAGGTAACCGTGGACGTAAACAGTGTCGAAATCGATACACGACCACCCCTCGACCCTTCCTCCATCGAAGATATCCTACCGGATAACATATCGGCAGACGATCGCGGCGCCCTATACCACGCGTTGGCACCGTTCACATCCGTGTTCACATGGGCAGACCAGGCTATCGGACGGTGCAACGTAGTCCAACACCGGATAAACACCGGATCCGCCCCTCCACAGCACCTCCCTCCCCGACGGATACCCTTCCACTTTCGGGAAGAACTCGATAAGATGGTAGAAAACATGCTCCAACAAGGCATCATTCAACCTTCCTCCTTCCCGTGGGCAGCGCCGGTAAGTCTGGTTAAAAAGAAGGACAATTCCCTTCGTCTCTGTGTTGACTACAGACGCCTCAACGCGGTCACGGTCAAAGATGCCTTTCCTCTTCCCCGTATGGACGACCTCGTAGCTTCTTTGGCAGGGAAGAAATTCTTCTCTACCCTTGACCTCTCCTCAAGCTACTGGCAAATCGAAGTACACCCAGAAGATCGCGCAAAAACCGCCTTTTCCCTGCCCTTGGGACTCTTCGAGTTCACCACACTATCTATGGGCCTAGCCAATGCAGCGGCGACCTGCCAACGCCTCATGCAGAAATTACTGAAAAACCTCTGTCCATCGAAGTGCCTTGTTTACCTAGACGACGTCATAGTGTGGGGTACCACGATATCAGAACTGCTAGACAACCTTTCAGAAGTCCTAACGAGGTACCAAGATGCCGGTCTGACACTCAATCCAAAGAAGTGCAAGTTCCTCCAACCAGAAATTCGCTTCCTCGGCCACATAGTAAGCCGCGAGGGCCTCAAAACGGACCCTGACAAGATCCAGGTGGTCATAGACTGGCCACAGCCGGTCAACCGATATGAAGTCCGCTCTTTCGTGGGCCTAGCAGGATACTACAGGGCTTTCATACCGTCGTACGCTCGCCTTGCCTTCCCTCTCACGAGACTGACCGAGAAGTCCCGACCATTTAAGTGGACAACCGAGTGCGAGGACGCATTTTCACACCTCAAGGAAGCCCTTACCGCCGCCCCCGTTCTCAGTTTTCCCGATCTCAGTCGTGACGGACCCACATTTGTCCTAGATACAGATGCTAGTAGTCACGCCATAGGAGGAGTACTGTCGCAGACAGACACCGATGGCAGAGAGCACGTTATACAGTACGGCAGCCGTACGCTTGATAAGTCGGAACGAAATTATAGCGCCACACGGCGAGAGATGCTAGCTCTAGTCTCCTTCACCAAGAAATTTGCTGCGTTTTTAAAAGGCAAACCCTTCATCATCAGGACGGACCGCTCAGCTCTGGAGTGGCTACAGAATTTCCACGAACCGGAAGGACAAATAGCAAGGTGGCAGGAAATGTTGGCGGATTTTGACTTCACCGTCGTACATCGCCCTGGGAAGCAACAGCTTAACGCGGACGCACTATCGCGAATTCCCATGCGTGAGCCCCACAGCTGCTCCTCTTGCCAAGATCTCGACGTTAATGCTCTGTCGGTGACCACTTCGGCGGTGAACTGGGCTAACCTACAAGCCAACGATCCAGATGTCGGTCTCATCTACGACCGATTTATGCGAGGTTCCATCAAACCGTCGAAAAATCAGATGTCCGGAGAAAGCCGTGAAGCACAAACCCTGTGGGCCTCCTGGCAAAACCTTCTTATAAGAGACCGAGTACTTTTCTTCAAGTATGACCCCCAATCCCCGACCCGCCTCGTCTTCCCTCCGGCTCATACACGCAGTGTCTTACGGGAGCTACACCTCCAACTGGGCCACGCGGGACAAGGCAAACTGGAAAAGGCGGCGAGGCGTCGCTTCTGGTCACCTAATCTTCGTCAAGATGTGGCACTCATATGCCAAGAGTGCGGAGTTTGCGCGCGATTTAAACATCCCACTCACAATCCCAGAGCACCGTTGCAACCGATTTCCACCGGCTATCCTAATCAGCGCCTTAGAGTCAACATCGTAGGCCCCTTCCCACAATCACGGAAGGGTAATCGATACCTTTCAGTGATGGTCGACTTTTTCACAAAATGGGCGGAAGCAGCTCCCCTACCCGACCAGACAACGACAACGGTCGCAGATGCGATCATGAGTACGTGGGTTGCCCGTTTCGGGGTGCCGGATGTTATTCACTCCGACCAAGGTGCCAACTTTGAAAGCCTCTTAGTACATGAACTGTGTAGTCGACTCGGCATACAGAAAACGAGGACCACAGCTTATCACCCACAAGGAAACGGACAGACGGAGAGAACCAACAAATCTATTTTGTCTCTATTACGAGCGTTCACAGAATCGGCCAACAACGACATCTGGGACACCCTCATTCCCCATTGTCTCCTATCCTACCGCAGTCCCATACACAAGTCAACGGGCTTCACTGCCGCTATGTTGCCTTATGGCCGCGAACTTCAACTCCCTTTGGACTCCTATCTACCTACCCCACGACCCGAGTTCTCAACGCCCCCATCCTACATTACGAGACTGATAGAGATCCACCGAGAATGTCAACGACTGGTTCGCACACACCTGCAGGAAGCTCAACTATCACAAGCCTGCTTTTACGACCGACAAAGACACGGTTCACTGTTCCAACCAGGCGATGCGGTGTGGCTTCACAGGGATAATCCTCCACCGGGACAACCTAGCAAATTCCACAATCCGTGGTCCGGCCCCTTCTCCGTCGTCCAGTGCTTACCCAACAACGTTTATCGAATACGTGAGGCCGACAACCCGAACACCCTCATAGTCCACTTTACCAGGTTAAAGGCGGGTCATCCCCTCGAACCCCCTGACCCACCTCTCATAATCTCTAGTGACAATATCCCCGTTGGTGAAACCGTCGAAGTTTCTTCCTCCAGCCACTGAGGACAGTGGCTTTTCAGAGGGTGAGGCTTTGTCACACACACACCACACTTCAAGTGTACATTGCCATACCTTCCTGGTAACCTTTTTTCTTGTTTTTATGCTTAAGGTCTGCCCAATTGACTATAACTCCGACAAGAGTCTGGCAGTATCCCAATTCCGCCCATCTGCGCTTCGTGTGTTTCATTATCAATAGTAAATAAACTCTCATCATCGCTTCCCACGTTCTACGTCAGTGTGTGTGTGTTGAGAACTGTTTATCCCCATCTTATCTGGAGTATTACAACGAAACGGCGATTTGTGGTGCTGTGCTTCGGACGAGCCTTTTTCTTCTTCACTTTACAGACAAGAAGGAGTGTCCAAACGGAGTTGAGGAGACGACTCCAATGAATGTAGTACCTACCCCAGAACCACAGCAGTGAAGTGCTTAATAATTCCTTTTGACCGCCGTTATCCCCCATCTTCATTGAGACTATAAGCCCCCTGTCTCCTTATACCTTATTTGACTATATAAATCTCTTGTGTACAGACCGTTCTCCTTCTAATGAGTTTGGCACTAGCTTGAGTTTCTGATTGAAGAGTGAGTGACGCTGAAGATCCATGCAATTCAGAGTTGACATACGGTACTGAGCTCAAGCCAACCCTTGAAGGAGCAGCAGCCTCAAAGATCATTGCAGTAGAGGTGACAGGACAAGTGAGTGGCCCGCCTACTACATATCAGTATGAGCCAATTTCTCTATTTTTGAGGACCATTTTGACAAAGAAATCTCGGCAATTACTCCTCCGGACTAACTGTTATGTATAAATCTGCATTTTGCATACGTTTTTTTGTAAATAGGGTTTTCCAAGGCTCAGCGTATATGCCTCATATATACTTAATTATACTGAAATGCGAGGGATCCTTAGCCTACGTAAACCTTGTTGCCTGTGTGGCCGATGACATGCAGCAACGAAGTTTAGCTTTATTCCAAAAAGTATTTCTAGGAATAGAAACCTCTTGTTGTCGCCTTTCACCTCCTTTACTACTGTGCCTTTAGTTTTAAGGTCTTAACAGCGAAAAAGACTTCATCTAGGAGCAAAATTCTGCGCACTTTTGTCAGTTTATTTTCGCCAATAGAAGTGGACTTTATTTTCTCTCACCGTGATCGTTCGGCTCAATATCTTAGAGGGAATAATTTTTGTCATTGAGTTGTATCTCCAGTGGAATGTTAAGTCTCCTACTCATCAGCAAACAAAAAGCCTTGAAAAATTCTACACATCCGAAATTTGTTTCTGAGCTTGGCGTCCATCTGGTACTAGCCGACGTTTCTCCACATTTCCGACGGCTTCGGTTTTGTCATATTCGTCATCTGATTGCCTTGTCCGTGGTTCGAATGAAACCCGGCACTTTAACGTCGCCACAAAGGGGTTATCGTTCAAAGGTGCTCCCAACTTTACTAGAACGTTTAATCACAACATTAACAGTTGGAAAGACCCAGAGTCAGACTCGCCATCCAAGGCACGGAGTAGTGACTTGGTTCAAAAGGACCGGATCCAATCCATCTCGTTTCTATTCCAGGCAAGTCGCACCTGACCTAGCGGTACGATCGAATAAGCTATATAATTTCGCAGGGCAGTCTTTGCCTGTTCTTAACCCAGTCTCTAAAACTTAAAAAGGTCTTACGGTTAGGAAATTTACCAACATGCCAGCGCCAGACAGACAAGCGAACAATGGCTGATATTCTTTTTAATGAGACAGCTTCCAAGACCCCGATTAATTTAGCCAAATCATGTTGCAAACTGTTTGTTAAAACCGTTTAGTCCGTTTTTTGTATAATTCTCCCTTGTATTGTGCTAGACTTTCTCCAAATCCCGTTTTTG